CATGAGCAAAAAAGCCAGGAGGAAGAAACGAATACAGGAAAAGAACAGCAACTAGACCAACTGGGTTGCCCAGATGGCCCATGAAAGCTAAAACAACAACAAAGATGGTGAGCTAGGTGGTCATCATTAGGGGCCCAGGTATTAGGTCGAGGCTTTAAAGAGTATCACTAGACTTCTTCTAGTTTTTATATTAACAAACCACCCAATTGAAACAAAAAAAGTAACTTGCTTTCTTAGACACTTGTGTTAAATTATTATGGAACATATTGTGTACTGGAAAAACAGAAACCTATTCTTTCTCTTTTAATTTAGTTTATTCCAACTTATTTTTATGATTCTTTGAAGATTTTAGGAAATTGATTTATCTTTCAATATACTAGTTGGTATAATTTCTATTAAAATCACAGCAATATTTTTTGCAAATATAGGTAAAAATTTCTCTAAAATGTATAACGGAGAGACAAAGAAACGAAAATAACCCAAAAAATCTGTAGAAAGAAAGAAGCTGGGTGTGTTAGTCTGCAGAGACTAGAGAAAAAAATTCAGAGAGACTCCTATGTGTGTAGGAAAGAGCTTTATCTACAAGAGCAGTTGAACACTAAGAAAACATTTCAGCCCAGTTCAGATCAAGTCCTTAAGTCCGGTATTGGCCCACATGTCCAATACCAATCTATAAAGTGCTCTTCAGACTCACAGAACACATGTAATGATGCCAAATGCAGGACAAAGGCCAGTGGGTAGAAAGTCTAGTGGATCTAGTGGCAGTGTAAGCATCTCAGCACTGGCAGGCGTCTCCACATGGCTTCTCCAGCTCAGAGCACTAGCGTAGTTCCATATGTCTTATCAGCTGTAATGTTTCCCAGGGAACCAGCAGAGAGAGAGTGCATCTCTTGCCTCCAAGGAGGAATACAGGAGTTCCCAGGATCCTCAGGAGAAGGCCATGCCCACAGAAGCCTCATTGGCTATGACCTGATTGGCAGGGTAGACTCCACCCCTTCACTCTTAATCCTTTCAAATTGACAAATGATTATACAACTACCACACTGGGGAACTCATATTACCTGATTTCAAGATTTATTCTAAAGATAAACAAGGCAATGTGACATTGGCAACAGGATAGGCACATGGATCGATGTGATCTAGAAATAACAGAAATCAATATAAAACAGTCGGCATCAAGTCAATCCTGACTCAGGTTACTACAAACGCGTCACAGTGAACGTGTGCTCCAGAGTTTTCAACATACAGTATTTTTGGAGATTGCCAGGCCTTTCTTCTGGGTAGACTGAAACCACCACCATTTTGGTTAACAGCCTAGGGCTAAACAGTTTGCCCCACCCAAGACTTCTCTATATTTTACATTTAGGTCTGTGAGCAATTGGAGTTAATTTGTGTATGAGGTGTGAGGTATAGGTTGGGTTTCATTTAGTTGTTCAATAGCTATATGCACATATCCTGAAAAGACCATTCTATCCCCAAACACAGAAGGAAAAATCCTTTGTGACCTTGGGTTAGACAAAGAGGTCTCAGATACAATACCAAAACGAACCATAAAGAAAAATGATAAACTTTATCTAAATGTAAAACTTTGGAACTTCAAAGGACACTGAGATGAAAAGGCAAGAGCTTGTAAGAGATGATCTTTGCAAATCACAAGAGATCAGGGCCTAAACCAAAATCAGATCCACTGTCACTGCGTCAATTCTGACATCAAGACCTCTCAAAATCCAACAAAAGAAAACCATTCAACGGGCAAAAGATATGGACATTGCATTAAAGACATACAGATGTCAAATAAGCATATCCAAGATACTAATCTACATCAGTACTCATTAGAGAAGTACAAATTAAAACCACAAGGAGATATTACCATACACCTGTTAAAATGGCTCAAAGCAAACAAACAAAAAACAGTGGTAGGACCAACTGCGATGAGAATATGAAGTAATTGAACACTCATCCTGCTGGTGGGCACGTAAAATGGTGCCGTCACTTTGGAAAAGAAAACTCTTTTGTAAACAGTGAAGGGGTTCCCTATGTCGTGGCAACAGATCATAAATGTAGTGACTAACAAAAACAATTTATCATCTTACACTGCTATAGGACAGCTGTACAACCCAGGTCTCACTGGGCTAAAATGAAGGTGCAGGCAGAAGTGTCCCTTCTGGAAGAAACAGGGCTGAATCCATTTACTCAACGTTTTCAGCTTCTGAAGGGGCCCTAGTGGCATGATGGTTACTTGCTGGACTGCTCACCTGAAGGCCTGCAGTTCAAAACCACCAGCCATCCCCGGGAGGAAGATGAAGCGTTCTGCTCCCATAGTTACAGTCCTGGAAGCACACGGCAGTTCTACCCTGCCATATGGGTTGCTCTGAGTTGGAATCAACTCGACGGCAATGAATTTGAGTTTGAATTTTGCGACAGTAGACATGGCATGTGAAAGGTGTCAAAAAGCTTTAAACTATTGGAGTATGCTGAACTTCTGAGATAGTGATGTAGGAGCTTTGGAGATAAAACTAGCAAAAAAGATGAAAAGCAACTCATTGTTTTATCCTTACCAGAAAAAATGAAAAGAATTTTACCATATACTTGTGAATTTCGGCTAGCAAGATTTGAACTTAACAAGTTAACTTGTTATAGAACTTTAAGATGGGAGTCTGTCAGGTGACCCAAGTAAGTACAGTTGGTTTGGCTGATTTAGTCTAGTAATGTTTACTATATGACTTCATGACTTGTGATCCTGTACACAAAGCCTGTCATAGGTACACCAAGAAATGTGCCTATTTACGTATTGGTACACGCACTCAATGTTGATTCAGAACCATCCTCCTGTGGGTTTCTGAGACTGTAACTGTTTACAGGAGTGGAAAGTCCAGTCTTTCTCCTCCGGGGGCTGCTAGTGGTTTTGAACTGCCGATCATATGGATCGTCGTAGCCCAACACATTACGACTGTGTCACTAGGTGCCTCTTAGCGGCCAGTTTCCCTGCTTTTTAATGCTCTTTGCGGTAGGCGGGGCAAAACTTAGCTTTGTTCTCAACTTAGGTGCTCTGAACGACAACTTTTTATTGTAATTTATTGAATCATAGGGTCACTGAAATGGGATTAATCTAAGTAATTATATTCAACTGTGCTTTTTATTTTCCAGAAAAAAGAAAAGCTTGTAGACATTAGTAGCCCATAGTGTGCAGTATTAACTTGTTATTAAGTAAATAAATTATCTTTCACAAGATCCTGTATGAAACCAGCACATTATTTCTTTTGCTTATTGAAAAAAATTTTTCTTTATAATTAATTTTTCTGTAACTTCTAAGCACAATGTAAGAACACACGTGATATAATGGGTACTTGTTGACTGCAGTTCAAAACCACCAGTTGTTCCTCCGCAGACAGAGAGGACTTGCTGCTTCTGTAAACAGTTACAGTTTGGGAAACTCACAGGGCAGTTCTACCCAGTCCTATAGGGTCGCTGTGAGTTGGCATTGCCTTGACGGCAGTGAGAATATTAATTTCCACAATGTATGATTTCTCTTCCATTTGGAGTTGATCTCCCCTTCAGCCTCCAGCCCTGGTAACCAATTATTGTCTTTCCCTAAAATTGTCTTTTAAAAAATGTAAATGGAATCACAGAACCGAGATTCCAACTCTGTTCAGGACTGAAAAGCTGTTTTCTTTCTCCTGCGAAGCAGCTGGTGGTTTCAAACTGCTAACCTTGTGGATAGCAGCCTAACAAGTAACTCACTTGGCCACCAGGGCTCCTACATCCACACAGACCTAGTAATCCAACATTTACTTCATAATTTTTATTACCACCAAGACAAGAATAACTACCATTTCATTTGCCCCTATTGCAGGATTTAATAGGTAATTGACTTATAATACAAAAACATAATTAGGAAACGATCGTTAAAATTTAGGATCTATATAATCCAAAGCCTGGTTAGCACACTATCATTAATATCACTATGAGGTGAGTCAACAGGACGCCAACATTTTGTAACACTCCAAAATCCAAACTCACTGCCATCGAGTCTCTTTGAACACATGGCGACCCTTGATCAGAAAATAACCCCTTTTCTGTCAGTCAACTTAAACATCAAAATTCTTACTCTACAGCTTTGCAAATCTAAATCCTTACAATTCTAAACGAGTACCGAGACAACACATATAAACCACTAAAAACCTGCTGTTGTTGTTAGCGATCAGATTTTAATTTTAGCGTAAACCTCCAAGAAAAACCTTCCCACCGCAACCTAAACCAGGTACTCATTAGTGTATGCCGACCAACTGAGCAGGTGAGTTAGTATTATTAGGCAGTTACGTAATTGGCTACAGATTGTTTAAAGAGCCTTTCAATAAAAATAGCTTACAATGCATGGCTTCAAAGTTCACCTTGCAATCTCCTCGTATCAGAAACCATTAATCATTACGTTTAGGGGGGGAAAGTAGTCACAAGGAAGCAAGGAGCTATTTGTTTGTTTAAAGAATGCACCGAACCGCCGAATAGAAGCTGAGTCAAGCAGAGAGGAACGCTGACTACATTCCGTCTTTTAAAGAAAAGT